CACACACACACACACACACACACACACACACACACACAGAGTATACTTGTAGAACTTGTAAAGGAGGGTGGAGAGGGGGGGAGAGGGGGTTGATGAACAAGTCAGTGTAGACTAAATTTGTTCCTGCCTTTGCAAAAATTCATAGGATTTTCATTCTCCATAGCCAGTAAATTTTCCTCCACCCAGTCTCTCCATCACCCACTGATGCCTCTGGTAACACCCTTATCCAATTCCTTCTCAGGATCCTCCAGTCACATAAAAGTGGCTCAGAGAAAGCCCCCCAGGAGGGTTGTTATGAACAGGCTCTAAAAGAGGAAGTACTGAGGGAAACTGGGCAGAACATAGCAAAGGGGAGCCTTCCAGAACCCCTGGTATACACTGATTATTCTGGAACTGGGAGACAAAGCCCTTACGAGGATAAAGAACTCAGTCGATGTCATCTCTGGAAAGATCCCAAGACATCAGCTAAGCCCATGTTTGAATAGAAGCCCAAGATGGGGCAGAGACTTGTCAAGTCCTTACATGTGGGTTGTAGCCCAGCTGGGATTTGAGCCCAGGTTCCTGACTCCTAACTCCATTATTTCCCCCCAGGTTTTATTGGTCTCCCTCTGTAGCCTTTCTGTAATTCCTCAGGTCACATCTTTCCAGCCCCACATTGGAACAGTCCCTAGAGCTCAGGGATTTCCCCTGTTCTTCCTTGCTCCCACCCAAATCCCTTCAGGATCATCATTCTAATGGGAGACACAGATGGTCTGTAGATTCAGCACATGGTCAAATCACAGAAAAAGGTTACAGTCCCATGACCTAAAAGTCCTAGCTCTCAGAAACTGCAGAAATATATGGAAGCCCAACTTTTTTTCCAATAAAAAAAATTAAAAGCTTGATGTTTAATTTGAAGTTACGCACATATGTGTGTATAATTATGTCTTATGCATGTATAATTATGTAAGTGTATGGGTGAATGTGCATGTGTGTACATGTGTGTGCATATATGTATATTATATGAGTTCACATTATATATACACATATGTATACATGTTTGTGTGTGTACACTTTCCCTTAGTAATTGTTTTACAAATCATCTACTTAAACTGGGGTCAGGAGGAACTCTGATTCTTGCTGCTCTGAGCATTGCAAAATTTATATATGCTTGTATTTATTTTTTATTATGAAAAGAACTGAAAATAATGCTGCTCCTATGCCCCACTAGCTTATTTAATAACTATTATATTTGGTTATATTTGCTTCTGCTTCTTTTGGAAAATAAAATAATGCAGGTAGAGCTGAAGTCTCAGTCCTCCGTCCATTTCCCTACACCCTCCCTAGAGATAACCACTGCCCGGAAGTTTGCATGTCCCCTTCTCTCATATAATTTTATACTTGTTTTCCCATAAGGAAATATAATACAATTTTGTATGGCTCTAAAAATTTCAATAAATGATATCATACTTTATATAACATTCTGTGACTTCAAATTTTTCATGTAACATTTAAATTTTGAGATTTAATCCAGACTGATACATGTCTAGCTCGTTTATTTGACTGCTATGTACTATTTCATCATTCGAATATGCCGGAGTTTGTCCATTAACCTAAGAATGAAGTTAGTTTGCCTCTCAATCTTACTTCAATAAGCACATCATTCTGTACAGTTCCCACCCCTTGTTGCCATTTTTCTATACAGTGAAAATACTCCTTAAAAACTATAAATAGCACCCTAAAGCTACTGAGTCAGCCTTGGCTAATGAGGTTAGACCCCTCTGTGGTCACGGCTCACGAGCTGGAGCTTCAGAATCTAAACGGCTCTTCCCTCCCCTCTTTCCCAAGAACTTTCCTGCCCTGCACATCCATTCCACACTCACATCCTGAGAGCCAGTGTGATGCCAGGCCCCCATGCCAGCACAGGGCGTGCCAGGGCTCTGCCAGGCTGCTGCAGAATCAGCTCTAGGACCACATGCTCGGAGCACACCTTTCCAAAGCATTCTGGGGCTTCCCCAGATCCAGCTCTCTTTCTGCAGAATAAATGAAATGTACCAGAGCACAAGAAGGTCAAGCACAGCCCCAGAAGGAAATTTCTCCCCTAAGACCAAATGCCTAAGGGCCCTGGGGTCTATTCCAGACCTCCTTCTCTTTGAACTCTCCCCTGTCTTCCTGGGTGACACTCCTGGGTAAATTCTCATGGCTTTTAATGACATATTCTTGCCAATGACTGCATAATCTGTATCTCTGGCTTTGATTTCCACCTGAAATCCAGCCCCATATATTCAGTAACACTGGGCCCCACACAGCTCTCTCGGGGACCTTGCAGTGGAAGATTGGTGCTCAATGTCTAGTGCAGTGACTTTCATGTTTATTTTTTTACCATGACCCAGAGAAAGAAATGTTCTATTTTTTTAACATGCACACACACACACACACACACCCGAGACAAAAGTTTCATTAAGTATTACTTAGCTTTACTATTTGTGACTAAGAAAACAATCTTGTTGGAACCACCTGAATTGCTTTTATGATGTTCTCATGAGTCACAACCCACAGTTTACAAAACATTGTTCTAGTAGGACTTTCCCTGCTCCAGAAATTGGAAAGCTCATTTCCGAAATACACTTGCCTTATTTTTTTGCAGCTTGAGAGCTAGCATGGTTTAGTCTGAGATGGACAAGATTTTGGAATGTTTGTCCACTAAGCCGGCAAGCCCAGCTGTGGAGGTGTTTGATTTTTCTGCAGCTGAATTTGCAGAGGTTCCAGTGTTCAGATACTAGATGAGTAGGTGTGGTGAGTCTGGGTGCAGGGAGAAGGGCATCCATTCTGCTGACATGGTCAGCTGCAGATTCGCGTTGGTTCTAGAACTGCCAGCAGTTGCGACTTCTGACTGTGGTGGTTTCCTGTTTGAAACAGAGGTGGTGCGGCTCTAGAGGGGGCAGCTTCCTGATTTCAAGAGTATTGAAGAGACAGCAGCTACCACGGCAGCACCATTGTTAGGCGTGGCATTAGAGGTTGCTCCAGAAAGTTCCACCTGGATTCTGTGTCCTCAGCCTCTTGACAATTCTGTAAGTCAGTTAATACCCTGTGATAAATAAATGCCTCCCTATACACAGCTAGAATGAAGTCTGTCCTCTGAAACAGATCTCTGATGGTTACCATCTCAACCTGGACAGAATTGGCCTCATAATAGTCACCCCAAACTTGCCGTGATTCTTATATTCTAAATCTCAAGGAGTAAGTCCCTTGTGACCCTTCTTTCTTATTTGCCATCCAACCAACATCTGTCCAACCCATCCAGGTCTCTATCCCAGCCACCACCACCATCTCCTTTCCACACTCATCACTGCCTAACTCACATCCTTGTCTGCTGTCTTACTCCTTATAAACCCATTCCAGACAGCAGTAACAATTCTCCACTACTCTTGAGATTGACAGTAATAAGGATCCTCTATCAGGCTCTTACACGTCATGCACTTTTCATGCACTCACTCATTTAATTCTCAAAACAGCCCGAGGAGATAAGCATTATATAATCCACCCACTGAAGACAATGACTCTGGGACTCCGAGACACTGAGTAGCGTGGCCAACATCACACAGCCAGTGCGTGGTAGAGCTGGGGTTCAAGCCCTGGCTCATCACCTTCCACACACTAACATCCCATGCTACAAATAATATGAATCCCACCTTCTTAAATTCTAAGCTCTCCAAACCAGCTTTCTCTCCATCTAGATCCTGCCTTTCTCTCTAGCTTTATGCCATCTCCACGTCCTTGTGCTCTATGCTCAAATCACATTGAATTTCCTGAAATTCCTCAACCCTCCCATGCTCAGCCTTGCTACCAGGGCTTTGCAGATGCTTTGCCTTTGGCCTGGCGTACTCATTTCACTCTCGTTTGCCTGGCTGACTCATGATGACATTCTGATCTCCTCAGAAAAATCTTGGTGACTTTTTTGGCCATACTTGATCCCCTGCTATCTTCTCCAACACTTGTCCCATCCGGAAAGGCACGACACTTGGCTGTTCACCCCTAGTTCTCTCTGTAGCTCCTCTCAAACTCTTGGATGTCAGGAACCCTATCAATCTTATTCAGCACGGGGTGTTCACAGCCCAGCACAACCCCTGGAACATAATAGACAGCCTTTTGATGACTATTTCTTAAATGAATAATCAAAGAAAATACCTTTAAATATAAGCTTCAATCTAGGGAGAAGATAATAAGCCACCCCCTTCCCCCAAAAACAGGGATAAATACAAACTATAAAATATGGAAATGTGAATTGAAAGCCACCATTTTTCTTAGAAATGTTTTTTAGCACTCAGGAGACTAAGAATGCTGATGAGAGAAAGGAGAAATTTTCAGTAAACAGAATCTACTTGTTCCATCTGACAATCTAGAACGGAAAAAGACAAATCTTCACTTAGTTTATTGAACCCCTTTTATGAGCTAGTTGTAGTATATTCACTATATAATCCATCTTCCTTCCTACTCCTATGTGATAGCTATATTCTATTCTAATAATTTTTAAAGTGGGTATACCCACCACAGAGAGTTTAAATCAAATTTTAGTATACCTTGGAATCAACTGAAAGACTGTTTAATGCCCGCCCAATGCCCAGCCCACATCCCAGACCAATTAAATTAGAATCTCTGGGGTTAGAACCCAGGCATCAGGATCATTTTAAGTTCTCAAACTTGAAGCTGAATCTGAGAGGCAGTGGTTTAAATCCTTGCTATCTACATTGCGTCCTAGACCAACAACCCTGGCATAACCAGACAGCTTGTTAAAAATGCAGATTTGCACACCCCCACCCAGACCTACTGGGATAAAACCTGCATTTTAATAAGATCCACAAAAGATTCAGGGCACCTAACAGTTCTAGGAATGCTGATTTCAATGACCTCCCTGGTAAGTGGAGAAGATTGCTCTGAGTCCATTATGCTTCCCTGTTTTCCCCAAGCCAACTTTGGGAAATGAATTCTCCCTCCCCTTCTGCTGCTTATGCAAATGTAAGGGTCTAGACACTACCAAAAGCATCATTATGTCACCATGATGGCATTTTTTTGACATTATCATCATTGAGTTTTTAAAAATTGCCCCGGTCCGTTCTCTCCCTTGGGGATCTTGAGCAAGAGCTGGGGAAAGGTTCAGGCCAATATGTTGAAAGCGTGGGATACAGTCCTGAGTGGGGGATGTACTTTCCCTATTCCTCCCTTTCCCTGCCAAGGAAAGAGAGAAAACAAGTCTATGGGCAGCAGATAGGAAAGGACAATTTTGAAACCTGGGTTTGAATCCCAGCTCAGGTAATGATTAACATTAGGATCTTGATGACTCACAGATATTCTCTAAACTTAAATTTCCTCAGTGGTAAAAGGAGAAGCATAATCCTTCCCAAAGCTGTGGGAAAAAGAAAACATACAGTAAGCTTGACAAGGGTACAAAATGTGAGGTTTTGTATTATATTCAGTTTACACAAAGGAACAGAAGAATAATCAAGGGTGAGTTTGAGAGGAGTAAAGTTACCTGAAACTCACTGAAGCTGGCTCCCATCTGTACCAGGAAAAACCAGGTACTGGACCAATAAAGGTGCCCATGAGGCAAATGCCCAAGGGATCTTTCCTACTTTAGGGAAAACCAGTCTGGATTAGCCAATCGAATATTTAGGCAAGGGACTAGTGGGAGGTCCCCTCCATGTTCCCCCTAATGGCTGCACCTGGCAACTGGTCACAACGGGTGTTGGTGTTTGTGTGCCTTTTTTCCCTGCTTAGAACTGAGTATCTAGAAAGTAAGAATCCACTGCTGAGCCCCAGCACCCACACTGGTATTTAGTGCTCAAGAAGTGTGCAGATTTCACTTGCAGCAAGAAAGGGAATTACCAGCGAAGAGCATCATCTCCTCTAGTTAAGAACATGCTGAATTGAAGTCTAATCCACCTTCCCCAACAGAAGGCTCCAAGTGGAAACCAGATGAACTATGGCATCCGTCCATTCCCATTGCTGGGGCACAGATAACGTAACTGCCCTGACCTTCTGGCTCTGTCTTCTGTTTTCACAGCTAGTTTCATTTTAGGAGCTGGCCCAGTGCACATAGCATCAAGCACAAAAGTAGTCAGGGGGAAAAACTCACCAGCTGGCATGGGATTGGCACAACAAGACGAGGGAAAAACAAGAAAACGCTTAAGGAGACTCCATCCCTACTGCCAACGTGACATTTGTACACTCAAATACATAGCCCTCCATTGAGTCTGATTTTTTCAATCTCCTCCTCTATTAACTATGGCATGTTTATTTAAATAGCTTTATATTACATCAGTCTATAGAATTGCTAATACCTAATGCTTGCTTACCAGGTTCCAGGCTTTATAATGAAGCTTTCAAATATTGTAGTCTCTTGCATTCTCCTAACACGAAATGAGGTAGAGATTGCCATTCCTGTGTTACAGATCAGGAAACAGAGGCTCAAGAAATGCATAAACATGTCCAAGTAGAGGCAGCTGAGGAACAAGGTTGTAAATGTCCCAAGTCTGACTCCAGAGCTGTGCCCCTAACAATAATGCACTGCTCTTTCTGAGGTCACCTGACTTGGCACATGCTATCTCCTTTGTCCACACGGTCCTTGCCCTCCCTTCTCAGTTTGGGTTAACTTGACCTCATTCATAAAATCTCAACTCAAACATTATTTCCCAAGAACTATTCCCAGGCTAAGTTAGGGATCTAACCTGGGTTTTGACTTCTCAATTCTAAATATTCATCACCCTGTACTAATTGATTCTGTGTTTGACTCCCTTGCTAGACTGTAGACTGCTTAGTAAGAACAACATTCAGGCATAGTTCACTTCTCCCGCCAGTGTCCGCAAAATAAAGTGATTCTTGCTTCCACATTATTTTGGCATGATCCCACACCATTCATACCCTACTCTGGATTCCAGAAGGGACTTCGTTACTTTGAGGCCAGTGACTGTAGAGGCCTGAGTCTTCATGCTGGCTGATCCAGAAATGCTGGCTGCTTTTCCTCTGGATCACTGCTAAATGGAAAATCCTGAACTTGATGACACCAATCACTCTAGCCCTAACTCCACATAGCCAGAAAATAACTCATTCCCCACAGCTGGGATTACCTAGGCTTTTCATAATTTAGAATCTTGGCCTAACTTGTCCTGCCCCCAAAGAGAGAAAGAAGTGTGACCACCCCCAACCCAAAGTGCCAACTCATTTCCTGCCCAGAATTAACCACTTCCCAAAATAAGTGACTGTGCAAACTTCAAGTCCCTTCAGGGGAAAATCCCACTCCCACCTACCAGGCTGTCGTCCTACCCTATGACCCCAACCTGACAGTCGCCCAAGAGCCCCATATTGATTGGTTTCCTTCCCAAGGTTTATGTGACTCATCCTTATCTTATACCATCTTGTTGTTCTAGGACCTTCTGGCCCTTAGTGGGCATTTGATATATAGTTTAATAAATAAATACCATCTTAGATGTCTGCATAGTATTTCAGAGTTTACAAAACTATTCTTTCAAGTGACAGATGAGAGAACTAAGCTGTGCACTCAGCTGGTAAAGGGCAGAGCTGGCAGCCCTTGGTATTCTGATTTCTTGTCCAGAATATTATATTTGGGGGTCAGCAAACTACAGCCTCTGGAGTGTCTGTGTGTTTTTGTAAATAAAGATTTATTGGAACACAGCTGCTTTTGTGCTACAATGACCACAAGTTGAGTAGTTGCGCCAGCTTGCAAGAGAGACCCTATGCCCTGCAAAGCCTAAAAGTTTACTATTCGGCCCTCAATAGAAAATGTTTGCCAACTCTACTATAGTGGGACTCCATATACATTCAGATGTACATACTTATATACCCACCGTACACCACTAAATTCACCCACAAAAAGAACCATCTAGCTACTGACCGTATCTGAACTTCTCAATATTGCCAGCTCTGAGACGGTACTATCAAGTGTGTTGGAGTCACATATAGAACAGGTCTGGGTGCTGAGGAAGAGGTTCAGTGGGTGAAATCATGGGCTTTGACTATGGTGTGATCTATCCTAACAACAGGGAGAAGTAACAAA